TCTGCAAGCAGGTGATTGTTGGGCCGTGAGGGGGCAAAGCGGGAGAGCTTTGATAAACTGATCAGCAAGACAGAGGGATTGAAGTCACAAACATTGTCATTGAACAATATCATTATCAGTGTCTTAACAAGTTCACAACACCATTAAAAATACTTCACATCTGTACATACTACCGTTAACAATACAAATAAGTTCTTTGAATGATCATTTTGTACATCTTTTTAATCATAACAAAATGCCATTTTAAGGGTCACATGTCATGGCCAGTTTCCACTGATCATAATTCCGTTTGTTTTGAGGTGATACTAACATTAGAAAAATACTTGCTGCGAATTTTTCCAGATATCAAAGGCGCCATAATCCCCGCCATTTTGTCCACTCAAAGTTTGAAGGAAGAAAAAAAAGCGTTAACTCGTCTTGACGGCTGACGTCATCAGCCTCGCCCGCATCACAGAATGTAAACAACACTGGTATTAGAGTACTGAAACGTGTTGGAGCCTCAATACGATAGATGAAAACCCCCAAAGATGAAAATCGAATCCAGTCTCATTTACGCACGAACATTTGTACTAAAGACCGGCCCAAAAAAGTGCGGGGGAAACTATTCTGCCCCCCGTGCACCCTGGTGTTTGAGCATAAGAGAAAATCGACACGGTGTCGACCCACTTTGATTCAATTCAAACATTCGAAAGCGTGCTTGCTGCTGCCTGCCGGGACTAAGCAAAGCCAACAACTCACGTTCACCGCAGGCCATCAAACCTCCATAACCCTTTCGAGGCTACAAGAAACGAGAGGTGAGTAGCCTAGCAAGATTTGAAGCTGGGTCAGATATACGAACGAGTAAATTTAAAACAGAATGAGGCGGGAGAAGTGCCTGTGTGTGGGGGGGGTGTGCTGTGTGTGTGAGATTTAAAAATAGGCGCCCAATTTCTTTACAATAAATAAACATTTGAATGTGCTTTAATTTGATAGTAAAGGGGTTTTTTTGTAACGTTAGTGGCAGGTTTGTTGTGTGAGCAGACAATATGTTTTCCCCCCCGCATATTTTAGCATTATTTTCGCGAACTTGTCCGCCATATTCGCAACTTTTCCCGCAATTTCAGCCGCATAAAATCACATAAAAACCCCGCATGTTTAATTGCATAATCAAGGATTCTAGCCCGCATAATCAAGGAATTTAGCCCGCATAATCAAGGATTTTTGCCCGCGTTTTTCTGGAGGGTCTATTTAGCGATACACAGCCAAACTCAACCTGAACACACACAAAGTCACAGCCGAAATAAAAACAATAAGTGTGGCTTGATATTGAGTAAAAAAGGTTTATAGGTTGATGAACGCTGTGAGAATGGGTCTGCAGAGACTGTCTGTTATCAGCCAGGGAGGAGAGATCAGCAGGGCTGCCTGCACTGAGTGTGTGTGTGTGGATTGGTCAATTTGGACCAATCAGCGGGGGCGTAACGTAACGGCTCCAAGGATTGGCCCATTTAGTTCCGGGTACGTGCTTTCGTAAGCACTTACCCGGAAGAATCAAATGGATGACGTCATGATGACGTTTCACCAACGAGGCGTTTTGGGGAGGTATTTTCTGTTTTAGAGTTTTACTCGCAACAGGGTGTACTTTGAGGGTTTTGACTCTGCACACCGTTTACATGCAGAAAAACCTTCATAACACACAAGGGGACGGGTAATAACCGGAAAAGCATGACATGTGACCTTTAATAGTAAAAAAAAAAGGCATTTTTCATACTAAATAAATCGCTTAAAAAATTAAGCACAACTATTCAACATTAACTATTGGTTTCACATGGGTCATTAAAAGCAGACTTTCGTACAAAGCTTTGTCCTTTTTACACTCTATCTGTAGCATACTCTCTTATTATAACCCCATCAAAATATAATAATCCCGCTGTAACAATGTCTATGTTTTACAGTTTTCATCATATGACTAAAATGTATGAAACATTGTGATACCTGAAATAGTTTCTCCATATATCTTGGCATGAAAGTCTTAAACAAAGCCTCCATCCAGGCCGCTGATGGCTCAGGACCCCGATGGAGCCATTCCAGTCCGTCCGTCTCTAACAAGATCGGACCCAGCCCTCATAGATTCTATTACCCGACCACTCTATTACATTACATCTCCATTTACGAACCTTAAGCAGCTCCGAGCACGGCTGGGGCTTTGACCTTGTCAAAGAGGAGAAACTCTGACCAGATTGAGAAAGAGGGTGAAAGAGAGAGAGAGAGAGGAGAGAAAAGACAGAATAAAAACCTCAAAGAGGCACACTGAACTGTTGGAAGTGTGTTTGAAAAGATGGAGAGAGCTGGAGGACAGAAGGGAGGAGGGGGAGAAAAGGGAAAATAGAAAATCGATAAGCCGGGGGAGCAGGAGGATGAAGATTGAAGGATGATGTGGATAGGATTTGGGGGCTGGGGCGGAGGTGGCGTTTGAGAGATTGTGGAGTAGCTTAGAGCACTGACGGTGATGGCCATCGCAAAAAATGTATCAATAAAGGCATCGTGAGACTGTGGGACAGGACAGTCGATTCCAGAGGTGACTAGTCCGTCTTCTAAAACATTCAAGGGTCACGACTTTCCAACTTCCCCATTGAGACGGACAACATCTTCTTCTTTTATTGAGACCTGTCCCTTTTCTCCCTCGTCTGATCTGAAAACATGTCTCAGGAACTTGTTTGTGACACTCTATCCGCCTCATTGTCCACTACAAAGAAAAAGACAATCACTTGTCAATGATTTATTTTTCCAAGGTGAGTCGGCTTCAATAGACAACAAGTTGTTCTGTCAGTCTTCACTCAGTATCCTTGGCTATTGTGGTGAACTCACTTCCAGAAAAAAAAAAGAAGCTATTTGTTCATGTGAAAAAGCGCAGCGATTTATTTATTTTATGTACTTGTTAGTTTCTATTCAGGGTTAGAAGCATTCTGAAGAAAAAGAAAAATCCCATCATGAAAGGCAGGCAAATTGTTGTATTGCTCGGGAGACAGAGAATATAGAAAAACAAAGAAAGTACATATTACATAATCCTGCAACACTTTTTAACTGTTAAAACTGCAGCCTTTGCACTTCATGCTTTCTTTGATTTCCAGATTTATTTCACAAGAAAGTACGACTGGGAAGTCCAACATATTATACATTTTAGCCATGACATTTTGTACAAACATTCATAATTAGCCTTCTAACATGCTAAACAATGATGGCCAACAGGCTTAACCTATATGCCTGCTAAACATCAGAGGGCTAGCATTATAACAGTTAGCATGTCATCATGAAGAAGTTAGCATATAGGTCAACGTATAGCCAGAGTCGCTAGCAAGCTGTTGTCTCTTTGTCTCTGAATACTAAATAATGTCATATCGGCGAAAGGACGTAAACATTTTTTGTATTTTCTCTGCCTCCATAGGTCTTTTGGAATGAGTAGAGTATTTCTTTGTTGGGCAACCTTTTGTCATGACGCCTGCGACTATCAGCTAACAGTGCTAACAACGCAGGTAGAGGAGTTTCAAAACACTGAGGAAGAGTAACTTCATTCTCTGCTCAGGATGCCTTTACTCCAGTATACCTTTGTTCAGTTGTTGCTTATATATGAATGCTCTTCATGCTGTATAGAACCTTTAAGAATTAACCTCAATTGTTTTGTCCACTTGTAACCAAGCAACCACCTAAACAAGAACAGTATTGATGCCATCTTCTTTCACTCCCTCTATTTGGTTGAAGATAAGTCACGTTGACCCTTTTGCATAAAGAACAGCGGGTAGATTGTAAATAATTCTCAATTTGTCAGAATGAGCAATTAGAAATCCCAGGCATCCGTCAGTGATGGTGATGCATTTCCCCTCCTTCGGCCCGCACAGTGATTATAACTCTCATTTGGTTCTCATATTACATCACTGAAAAACCTGCCAGCACTAAAAGCGTGCCTTACTGACAAACTAATGTACCCACCCAGCATAATACATTATCACCATGCCCTAATGTTGCCTGCTGCTCCATAATATGGCCATTATTTGCCAGCATATGTCAATTCAATCTTTATTTCAGACTCAAGGTCCATATCACATACAAAAAGACAAGACACACATCATACTGATGTTCTCTGATCATGTTTGGTAACTGCGGAATGTTCAGGCAGATAAACACACGCATATGGAGACAAACTACTGTAACTCTTCTTACTCTCCTTCTGCCTGCCTGTCTCTCTGTCTGCCTGTCTCCCGTCTCTCCTCGACCCCCTCAGTCTCTTTATTTCCGAGGAAGGACATAATTAATATTTCCCTTTGAGTGGGAGAGTGTAAAACAAACCCAAGCCTGGATCTCCTTTCCCTTTTTTTGTGATTCCTTGGAGGGAAAATGTAAGATGCATGAAAAAGCTGTGAGCCCTCAGATCACATGCAGTATCTTGGCATCTGCACTGCCTTCTCTCCTCTCACCAAATCCTCTCCAGTCCTCTGATCATCTCCAACCACATGGCAAACGTTGATGGAAGAGAGCAGGGATGAAGCTGATGTGAGAGAGAGACGCTGTCGCTGCCACCCACGTCGCAGAGGGATGTGAAGGAGAAACAAACTGGGAAGTTCTTTGATGATCACAATTTGCAGTAGAAATGACTTCATGAAATCTCAGGATTGGTATCAAACCTTAATCGTTTTAAGAAAAAAACTCAAACAAATGTAAATTCATGCTTGCCTAAATGTGTACACCTGTTCAATTACACTGTAACATGCCTTAAAATAAGGAGTATTTAGTTGGTGGCTCTGTGGCCACCACAGGCTCTTAACTTGGTTTGGATAGGTTTATACAACATTTCTGTCTCATTATCCTTCATCTTCAATCTCTTTGAAAAGTCAAGAAATGTCTTTATTATAAGGGGCACCAAAGCTAAAATATAACTCCAGGGCTGCTTTAATGGAGTTGATATAAAGATAACTTACTGTAGCTTTATCATTTGTCAAGGCTTCATGTTTGAAAAAGTATTGTAGTGTTCCAGCTCATCAGTCTAATAGCATTAGCTTAGCCTAGCTAGCTAAAGCTAATACATAATGTTAGCATGATAATTTCATTCAACAACGTCCACGGCTGTAGTGTCGAAACTAGAATCCTGCTTTTGTTTACTTCTGTGTGAAATCCTGCAACAAAATGTTGAAAGAAAAACAAAGTAGCCTAGCAGGAAATGTGTTATGGTAATAGGTTGAAAGATAAAGTCCCAGGTTATGATAGCTTTTTCTCAAATGAGGCATTTTTAGAAATACCTGAAGTACACAGAAGAAACACTTTCATGGGAAGGTTTTCATGTAGTAAGTTCAGTACGAAAGGTCCCAATAAACCATGGTTAACTTAGCTTTTTTTCCAATTATTGGTTAAATAAGATCTCCATTTCAATCCAGCTTGTGTTACTCTAACCCGCTTGATGGTTCTCCAGGGTGGCTGCTTGGTGCAGCAGGCCTCCCTGTAGCCATGCCTGGTTTATCGACTCTGATCAAAGGGGCAAGGCGGGAAGATTACCCAGAGAGGGAGTGCTCCAGCCCGGGTTTCCACCGGGCACAGATGGCACACAGCGAGGTTGCAGGCCTGGGGCTTTAGCTGGTGAGGCAAATCAGAGCGATGCGGGCACAGTGCTGGGGCCGTCTGGGGAGGAGAGCCCCCTGGCCGCTGACAGTCCATCCAACTGGAGGCAATCTTAGAGCCCCTCAAGGGAATGGCTGGCAAATGTACCCAGGAGGAGAAGGAGGGGAGATGAGGAAGGGGGGAGGAGAAAGGATGATGTGGTGGAGGAGAGGCAGGCAATCTTGGTGTGTCCTTTGAAGCTTGTCTTATGGCTTTTTTCTGTCAGGTCTCTCTCTAGGGGCACTAAGGGAATCTGGCTCTGGAAGACATCCCTACTCTCAAAATCCGAGGCTGAGTTCAAGCATCCAGTCCGGAAAATCTCTGCACATTGTGAACATCTCACAACATCACCTGTGACATTCAGTCTCCTGCAGTAAGGAGACAGTGACATGTGAACCAGGCACAGCAGCATGAATATACGTAATGAAGTATATGACTAAAGTAAACATCTTATTTTTGTGTTTTTGTCAATGCAGAATGATGATTGTTTGCAACCCTTTACAGTCTGAGGCAACCGTAACTCCAAAAAATATTGATGCAACCTTTTCACCTCAAATGGATTCTTTATTCAAAGCTTTGTTTGCTTTGTTTAAATGAGAGCGCAATCAACACAAGCCTGTATTGTTTTCTTTCAACAACATTACATACATCTCAATCTCCTGGCCGGGCTGAACAATCCTCAATTAAGACAAAACAATATCTTGAGTAACTACCTTTGAGAACAATACAAAAGCCTTTTCTGACATCCTTAATGGCTCATCAAAATCATTTGTCAGTATCTTCAAAATCACTGTTAGAAAAATAAAAGGTTTTCTTGATTGGACACTGCTGTGATGCCTTTTTGAATCAAACACTACATGGGTATTGTGAATGATCGTGATCATGGTTAAAAGAACATTGTTAACCATAGGTAGGACAAATAACCTCCAATATCGAAGTCCAAGGCCTTTTGACCCTTCCAAAGCCTTTTGTTGGCCAAAACAACCAATGGAGTGCTGCAGGAACGAGTCCCTAAACCAGGTAATGAGAAAGCATTTTGGTCATTCCAGTTATTGTCTCTTTTTGGTTAGATGCCTGAAATTAAGTCTGTGGTTAAAAGAAGCTTAAGAAATTCTAACAGGTTGTTTTTTCACATAAAATCCATCTGTAGTACATATCTTTAAAAAGGCGGTAGCTAAGAAGTGGCATAATCTTTTGTTTGCTACAAATATGTGGTTTAGATCATTGCAGTTAAAGAAAGTTTTAAGAAATTGAATGATGCCTGCACTGTAAAAATGTACCATATCTTGAAGTAACTTGTGTTCAATATCAACATTGGTATTGGCCATAACTAGCGGGCCTGACCTAAGCAGACCTGCATGTGTTTGTGCTTTTGCTCCAGTCTTTTCTGCTGAGGTCTCTGGCCAAAAGCCTATCTTTAGCCTGCTGCGTGATTATGGCAGAGCTCTGTAGGCCTTGTTTAGTCCCCTAGTGCAGAACTAATGTGCTTCAGATCAATAGTGGCTCAGAGGCAGGGATGAGATGAAGTCTGCACAACAGCAAGAGAAACATAGCCACTGCTCTTAACATGCCATCCCTCCTCTCTCTCACCAACAGAGACAAAGGCAAGTGGACGTTATGGTGCTTCAGACTTCACCTGTTTAATCTGAGTTTAAAAAAATATATTAAATAAAAGTGCACAGTCGATGCAAAAAAAGCAAAACACTCTGGGAATACTCTTTCTATTTGTTGCGAAGGTTTTGAGCGTGAGGTATTTTCTCCCAAATGTCCACATCGATTGTCTTTTCTTCTTTCACTTCTTTCCATTTCTGTGAGGCAATTCATGTATGGTATTCTTCAAGCTTGGCCAGGACTAAATAGCCTTATCTTTTTCCTGCCTCGCGCCTCGTGTATGGCGTGTCAGAGACGATTGTTTTCGGAGGACATCACAGGCAGATAGACAGATACTGCCGTATGCCGACTCCTTGTCAATTCTCTGAGCGGCAGCATGTGCGTTCGCCCTGTGTTATCAGGCGGGAGATTGATTTCTGTGTCCATCTTGTTTGCCCTTCCTTTTGTGTTTCAAAGCTCAATTTAGAGAGGCCTATGATGTATTGACGTGTGCACCGTGAATTACCCTGCTAAAAGATGCAAGCGCACAAAACATCTCACAGAAACGGATAGGTTCTGTCCTTCCATTTGTGACGGCGGGTTGTTGCCGTTCAGGGCACGTCCTCATTGTGAGGCAGCGTGTGATGCCTCGCAGAGATGAGGCTAATGTTTGGCAGCCAAATGTCTGACTGCAGCATCACTAACTAGATCAAGCCGCACTAAAATAGGATGTCAATGGTGACTAATAGGAAAAAACGATTTGCCTCGCTGTAAAGCTTTTTTCGGGGGCCATCGCCTTGCAAGTGCATTTATCACTGTGCAACAGCATAAGCCACGATCACCATCACTCTAGAGCAGGAACCCGCCATCCCCCTACACACACACACATGCACACAACACTCGTTTGATCCACTCTCTCCATAAACCTGGGCGTTTACTTCATTACCTCGACAGGCTGTTTGTAGGCCTGAATGCTGCAAATCTAATTAAGAAACTTGCTTAATTAAAAAAGAGGCAATAAGCCTTTAATGGTGACGAAAAATAATGACAATGGGACCCGGTAATGACCCAATGAAATACTCATGCTTGTACTCCGACATTCCTCCGTACATGTGACTGCCGTCCACCTCGACTGCAGCCGGGCCTGTAGAATCCTCCGCCAGCCACCATTGTTGTTTGGTCAGAAGGACAAATTAGATAGTTAGTCACTGTAATAGATGTGGCAGTAAAAGCTACCATGGTCGTATTAGCTTGCTGCCTCACCCAACCAGCAGAATATCAGCCACCGAAGGCCTTGAGGAAAGAGGAAACGTCTCCAGAATACAGAGGAGGATCCCGCTAAATGCCAGCGGGCCAAAGTAATTCATCTCTCCATAATGTTCAGGACCATTATTATGCTCATTCAGTCACTGTGGTGTACTGATTTGGGAGATCAGCGTGTCAGATAATTACAATTTAGTAAAGTGTTAAATCTTTGAAGCTATTGGTCAAATATTTAACACTGTTCCCTTACAAGCTGTTAACAAACTAGAGGATGTTTACCATCCTTTGAAAACGACGTTAATGTTTAACGACTGGATTTTGAGAATTACAGCTGTGTACATTCATATTTCAATCTTTTAGAAGTCCCAAACACGATCCAATGCACATTTAGAGTTGTAAAACTGGTATAATCAGAAGTGATACTAGGCTACATAATTATGATATAGGATCATGGGCGTAATTTCCACTGGGGACAGGGGGGACATGTCCCCCCCACTTTTCAAAATCCCATTTGTGTCCCCCCCACTTTTCAATTTTTTTTTTTTCTTTTTTACGCAAGTGGTCATCGTCACGGAGGAGCGTCTGTGTGTGTGTGTGTGTGGCAGGAGCGCATTTTGTGTGTGAGAGAGAGAGAGACAGAGAGAGACAGGGAGAGAGAGAGACAGAGAGAGACAGGGAGAGACAGAGAGAGAGAGAGAGAGTTACAGGGGTTGTTGTTGTTAGCATCTGGTGCTAGCTCGGAGATTAGATTAGAAGCTGTTTCAACAATAAGGAGAGGGAGAGTCCTCTCCTGTCGGACTGAGAGGCTGAGATAACATCAGCTCAGGGAGGTAAAGGACTCGCTGAGTGATTGTAAACTTTAGTTATCTCAGTGGGTCTCAAACGGTTTGGTCAAAACAAATATTTCCATTTATTTAATATAGTTGTTCAAAATAAGTTAAAAAGTAATTCCAATGTCAGTAAAAAATTAAAAACACAGTTTGAAAGGGAAGTGATTAGTAAAATATGCATAAATAAAAAGAAAGAATGCAGACTATAGGTAAGATAAAGATAGGAGAGAGGAGTATATCAATGATGTGTTATTGGTTGTGAGCATATTCTAATGGTTTTTGGAGTAATTCAATATATACAGTTCTGTTTCATATGAGTGTTGAGAGCTGTATCCATAAATCTCTTAATTTGTGCACCAGATTGATGCCTTTAACTTCAATTTAAAGAAACAAATCTTACCGGGGGTGCATGCCCCCGGACCCCCCTATAGGATGTGAGGTCATCACAAATAAAACAGGTTCATGGATAGATAAGTTTGCACACTCATTATACACACTACACATTTTTCTTGGATTAGTTAACACCATAGTCCTTAATATATATTTGTAGAAAGGCAGGAAATGGAATTAAATCGAGAACAATGTTTCATTGCGGAGGACCCCCTGTTTTGTGTCCCCCCCACTTCTCAAACCAAAGTTACACCCTTGTATAGGATAGCAACTTTACATAAACCTTCACATGCAAAGGATCAATATACATGGTGTGGACTAAAAAAGGTAAGATAAAACAAAGCCAATTGGAAAGAACAGGTGTAAATAATTAAATAATTCATGGCTGAATTCCATTTCACTGCTTCAGTTTTAGGATCCTAGTTACTGTCACACTGTCATGACCTACTGGGAGAATAAGGCCCCATTTACACGGGAACGGAAACGAAAATTAACCAAATTCGATATCAAAAAAGTATTCCGTTCACACACAATCGGTTCAATAAACGTGTCCGTTCACATGAGACCGCTTGACCCGCTGGGTATGCTGTAGTACATATGCCGGGCAGTGGCGTAACTATCGACGGTGCAGCCGGTGCAACAGACCGGGGCCCAGAGCCAGCCAGGGGCCCATGCTAAAAAAAAGTGCTGATTTGGGGTATAACGCTTAAAAAAAGGGTTAGGGTTAGAAAAGGAGGGGGCTGAGCTCATGCGGGATATGCTACCGGCAGATTCTGCGGTGATGAAACGCCATATCATGGATTATCAAGAATTATTTCTGAAACAGTATGGAGCTCAAAGGCTTTCTCTCTTGCCGGTTATACCACAGGGTGAGTTCATTTCCTGCTTCTTCACACACACATG